GGCTCTTAATTAGTATATCGGATATCTCATGCTATGTGTATTAACAAATAAATTGTCATGAAATAGTTACAGATGATCGTATATGTTGTAGAATTCATTGTGGTTTAAGTGTTTTCTTTTTTACAGAAACAAAAAATAGTACTCAGTTGTCCTTCATGTATTCAGCATCCTACATTGATCTTATGTGTGATACCACTGAGAAAGTTGCTGACTCAAAGACTGAGATTCCACAAAAGGTGAAAACCGGCATGGAAACTCTTGATTGTATTACAGATGGTCTATGTTCAGTTGAGCTAATAAATGTTGCCAACTGTCACCGGCGGACAAAAAGAGAAGCTGAAAATAAGACTGTTGGATTTCAGTTGAAACTCGCCTGTAACTCTCGAATATGTACGAATCTTTTTACATATGAAATGCACTTTATTTAAATAAGCTAGTATGGACAAAATTAATGCTGCATCTTCTTTCTTTTATTCTCTTCAGACAACAGTCAAGAGTGTTATAATATTCTTCATGATGCTTTGGTTTCACTTCTGACGCAAACTCAGTCACATAAATTCAGTGCAATGATCCAAAGTCAAACGTATCATATTCAGCCATCATCTGCTCATGTTGAATCCTTTGTTAAATGTCCCACCGGAACAGTGCCTGCCGATATATACTGTGGTAATTATGCTATTTTGTATTCTTAACAGAACAGTATTTGGTAAATTGTTCTAATTGTTTGTAATTCACGTTAATTATAATAAAATATCAGTTGAGTGTTCCCCTGGGAGATTCTACAAATCCAATGAATGTGTGAAATGTGACTTTGGGACGTACCAGGACGAGAGTGGGAAGTTTTCCTGTAAGGAATGTCCAGATGGAACAACAACTCCTGGCCGAGAATCTAGATCCGCCACTGAATGTTCTGTGCTTGTGTCAAAGAATAACCATGGTAATGATAGGAAAAAAAATATTTGCTTTGTCATGGGAAATTTGTAAATGTAAGCCAACGTACTACATTTGATATTGTTTTTGTTATTATTTGTCATTATTATATCATATTATTATTATTTTTTTTTTTTTAGAAAACTTGTTCATAATAGTGGGAGTTTTAACAGCTGTTTTGTGTCTTGGCATCTTTGCTATTACAATGATTGTTATTAAAAAACGTTTGTAAGTTTTCAATTGATAAAATGCATATAATAAAATAGTCATAATTGAAATATTTTCTATATTTAAAAATGTCCATACTTTTTAAAATAAATATATATTTTTCAGAAATAAATTTAGAAAAGACGAAAGCCAATTATTTACCAAAGTTAGATGCAAATATGAGATGGAGAAACCCCTTCGCTTTGAACCGTAAGTTTAAGTTTTGATGTGCCACTTCATTTGGATTGAGATATAAAAATATAAAACATGATGAATTTCTATTCATTCTTATTGAATTATATTGCTTTTCCTTTATATTTAGAAGGATGCAGAAAAATAACCAACTTCGTTGAGGAGATAGAAGTAAAAGAAGGACATATAATCGTATTTATTGCTTTCAAGTTTAATTTATATTTTTTAAAATTATGTTGTGGTTGACAATTTCAAACTGATAAAGGTTTATTTCTTGATTGATATTTGTGATATTTTTCTGTATATTTCTTGATTTTAGTTAATTTTATCTTCTTGGTGTATTTCATTCTTTTCATTTTAAAACTAGATTAATGTGTAATGCAAACAGGATTTTGTCTGTAAAAAAATATACATTTTTAATAAATTTAATAAATTAAACATTGTAAAAGATTTATTGTTATACAAAGTGTCATTTAATTTCAATTACAAATGAGTGGAAAAAATACTGGAAAAGAGAAATGAAACATATGGCGATAACGAACAGTCTTCAAGATCAAAAGTCCATATAACAATACAAAGCAGAGTAAACACGGACCTCCAAAATATCGGAGTTGTGATCAGGTGCCACGGAGGAGCAAGAATCTCCTGCCGACCGGTCACACTCGCCGTGTGCTTCTTGACATGATCGGGAAATAATGGATAAATCCGTCGTCAATTCGGTGTTTAAATAATGGTTTAACATTAAATATGAAAAGCGTCAGCCACTTTTTGACACAGTGATAAATTGTATTTGCTGACAAGGTCGTTGTATCAACCATAGATCTAACGAAATGATGACTTTAAACGAGACTGCTGAAAATCTTGTTTCAGCAACTTGTTTGTCAATAATTTACTTCGTTTTAGAAATTATTCGTATGTAGAGCATGCTCTTGCGTATCGAATCAACTGATGGATATTAACTCCGTATGCAGGTGATGAAGGTATATTACTGCATACATGTTAGTAAGGGAAATTGACGATAGAAAAGAAGTCATCACGTTTATTATAGAAAATGGTTGTTAGATTACCATTAACGTCTTTTCAAGTAAAAATATCCAAATATGAAATAGATGTGTCAGACTGTAATATTGAAAGTTTTAAAAAAAAGTCCTCCTAGTGATAATCTTCGTCGTTTTTATTCTTTAAAAGATAAATGAATGTGTTTATTTCAACCTTTTAATGATTTCACTTGTTTCAATTTTAATTTCATAAGATATAACTTACTATTTTTAGCTTCTTCGTCGACTTATCTGTCAGTATCAGTAATCTTATAATTGATTGCATTAATACTGATATAATGCTGCCTTTCTAGTCCTTGACAATTCTATAAAAGACATCAATATTTATTATTTAAAGAAAGATCTTCATCTACACCTAAGAATAATTGAGCAGTGCAGGTTGCATGCTAACTTAATATGTGAATACAAAATGACCCAGATCCGTCGAGTTTTATTTTCGCTATACAATCAATTGACACTTTGCTAGAAAGATATAGAAAGCCAAATGCTCATTACTTAAAACAGCGATTCAAACATTGGATTCCATTGCAATACAATAGAATTCATATTTAATTAATAGGTTATATGATTTCTTAGCAAGACTGTGAGGCAAATATACATAATGTTTTATATTAATTACATTTACTTAATTTGTGTGTTTGCTTTCAACCATGACTGGTAAAAATGCAAAACCTGAAATTGATATTAAAAGGGTGCTTGAATTCCTAAAGTGACGCCATACATGTTGTCTTCAGAGACCAAATCTTCCCAACAATCTGTTGAAATCCTAAAAGCATTAATTGTGTTCTGTTATTAGCCAACCTGTTTTTATATTTATATGAAGCAGAATTTAGTCAAAACTCCCATTTGAGAAGAGGAACACGGTTTCAGTGCGACTTTCTATTTGACATTTACATTATCTACGACATTTTTTCAATTAACAATATCTATTTCCATTCCTACAGAATATATGTAATTGATATATCCCAGTTAACTTGAAATAAGAAATACTACAGAGTCTGACACATCTGCTTCATACTTGGATGTTTAATAACCATAGAGAAACGATCAACTTACAACTAAATTGGATGACAAACGAGATGACTTCAACTTCTCCATCGCCATCTTTCTTTATTTAAATAGATATATTCAGGTATCATCTGCATATGGGGTTTATATTTATCCCAGATAACTCCATACTCAAGAGGATGCTTCGAGTATGATCTGATAAGTCTACTGACAGATAAGTCGATGAAACAGGGAGTTAAATAATGTCCTTTAAAGTTGTCAATTTGTAAATTCTGGGATTTTTAAACGACATTGTTAGCAAATATATTAACCTATTTTGAGTCGTATTTGTACTGTTTGTTGTCTTTATAAAATTAATCGCAGTTTGTTACCATTTTCATTCAATTAACTTTTGTTCGAACGACGTAGTTTGTTATTAAGGCCATTATACTGAATTTGTAATTTGCGAAATGATTAGAAACAATATTGTTCATGTGACATTAATTTTTCATACCATTTTTCATTAGCTTGCCTCTGTTTAATCAGGTACTCATAGTCATTTAGGTGGAGCTTAATAAAAAGAAAGCATTAATAAAAGTGTTTCAATGACATCCCATATGGAAACAAACTGTTTTTAAAGTCATTATAAAGGTAAATGATTTACTGATTTAATTTGGCTATGTACACTGAACCAAACTTCCAAGTGTTCACCTAACATTTTTTAAGTTTTAAAGAGCAAATGCATACAATAAATAACAACTTTAATTCATGGTTAATCATACACATTTAAGTTCGATGTTGCGTAAATTTCATGTACGTATCTCGTCAGAATTTTAAGCAAAGTGTCAAGGAAATGATGTACCCTCAAAATGAAAATTCACACAAGAAATCTCTATGGAGTAAGACCCCCACTCGCTCTAATTACTACAAGACAATCTTTACCTTTGGATACCATGTACCCCTGAATAAGGGATTGATCCATCTGCTGCCACACTTAGTCATAGAGCTTTCTAAACCGTTGAAATTGTGTGGAAGGGAGGGGAGGCTTTTACATTCCTTATAAAAATCCCAAATGTGTTCAATGAGATTCAGATCCGGGGAAGTTGACAGTGTATCATCACACAGATGCCTTTTGGTCAATATCCTAGGATGTTTAGCACGTGAGTGCACCGCTTTAAGGATGATTCAGACTGCTTAAGCTGATATTAGACTGTCACGAGCACCGATTTCTTATAATTTTCATACGATTGAAATTGTTTGTTTTCATATTTCTAAGATTGTTTCAGGACAATTTAATACTCTTTTAACCTGGTGTGATGCAAAATTTTGGCCTTAGATGAAGATCAAGGTCACTTCCGGTTTGGTTAAATTTTGTCTGAAACTTCCAAATTGTGATAAATTGGCGATGTAAAATGACGCACAGCCTATAGAAAAATGTGTTTAAATGGGTTTCGATATTGGTTGTTAATTTTTAAAAGTAATATAAAGGACAATTAAACACTAAAATAAAAGTGAGTAAAACGTGGTGAAAGGATGGTCCAGATATCAACGTTCCAACGGCTCTCCCTTCTAAATCGGTGGTCATTTTGCCAATGTTTTGTGTTTTTTAGTGAAACCAGTTTTTAAAATTTGATAATCATCACAAAGAGATGCTAATTACACAAAACACGTGCCGCAAATTACAGATTTATTGTTTTTAATCTTCGTCACGGAACATTGGTTTTCATCAGTGATATTTTATTTTCTTTCTACAATTGTTGAGAAGACTCATTTGTTGTAATAATTTGAAAATATCATACCATTCTATAAAGTCGTTTTAAAATAAATACATTAATTAAAGTAAACACTTATAAGTTTTGTTAAGTGTATTTCCACGAATAGAAGTTATAAAGGGGCACCACATGCACTTGGGGTATGAACCCCCCTTCCCATGTTTCTTTTCTATTTAAATATGGGGTCGAGCCCCCTTTTCCAATTTTTGTATTCTAATATGCACTATATATTATCAATGATGTAACTCATTGTCTCTATAAGCTGTTTTAAAAAATATTTCGACTGATACATAAAAGAGAGAAGGCTTGCAACTCCAGATTTAAAAAGAAAAGAAAAATGGAAGGGGGATCCATACCCCAAGTGACTGTGAGTGGCACCACTGAAAGAAAACAAATAGATGAATAAGACAGAAAATATTTCTTGTTTTCTGAAAAATAAGAACTTAGTTAGACATACTTTTGACGTCAAGGAGAAAGAGTACCTCGGCTGATAAACTTTTGCATACAAATGTTTGTCTTGAAAAGTTTGAAGAATGTCTATTTACATTCTTCTTCACATAATACAGCCCATATCTTGGCTAAAGATTTACGTCAAATACAAGGAAGTGAATAGATATTAACTTCTCTGGATTTCTTGTATTTGTGATTTTTTTTCGTATAAAAGATCAATAAATGCTCTCATATTACGTTGAACAAAGTGAAATCTTCGGAAAATCCTAATCGATAATTTAGAAAGGACACCACAACTTTTGAACTTTCAAAATAAATCATTTAGACAAGCAAACAAATAGAAGAGAGAAAAATCAACCATATTTAAAATATGGTTATACTACACTATGTCATAAAGTGATGGTATCGGCTAGATAAAATTTGACTGTTCAAGGTCATTACCTTTTCCCTAGATTTTTAGAAGGAAAAAATCTACTATTGGCACTGAATCATTTGATGTCTACTTCTATTTAAGTTCAATTGTTTTTCTTTTTGTATAAAAAGATATTTCCATTAAGGTTCTATAAGATGATTTACCAAAATGACATAAGAATTAAACTAAAATGCATATTGGCTGATCCGAATTTTCTCTATTTTTCTTAATTTTTTGAGAATATACTATTTTTAAAAATGCTTTCTATATTTATTTTTTTTACATATGACAAAGAAGACTTAAAGATCTATAAAATAATAAAGAAACAGAAAGTTTTGA